TATTTTAAAAATAATATTTTATAATTTTAATTGTTATAACATTATTATTAATTATTAGAATTGTGTCTAATTATAAGAGTTAACTATCTCTTATAATAATAATATCAATTGCTGTTAAAAAATATCACGTGCTGATTAAATAATTAATAATTATAATTATTAATTATTTTTATTAATCAAATTAAATAAAATTAATATTTTAAAAATAATATTGTATAATTTTAATCGTTATAACATTATTATTAATTATTAGAATTGTGTCTAATTATAAGAGTTGACTATCTCTTATACTTAAAATAATAATATCAATTGCTGTTAAAAAATATGTAATATCCCAAAATTTCTTAGAACATTAAAGTGTGCGTAGGGACCTAATTGTGAGGAAGTATTATTAATGGCCTTAATAATAGAAATTTTTTAAGTTGAGGGACTTAAAAGAAAGGAAATTAGGATAAGGATCAAGCTTAGATATTTTTCTTTTCTTCCCCATTGCACGCGTGTCTGCTCTGTTCTTCTTCCCGACTCTTCCCCCGACAAGCCCCCTAAGCCACCGGCTCTCTCCCCCCTTTAAAACCCGGTGAGATCTTGATGAAATTCCTTCCTTTTCTGGTTCAATCACAAGATTTAGGACCTAAAGATCCCTCCTAAACCCAGAAATTTCCAGACTTGCTCTGTTCTCCTCTCCCTCTGTCCGTCCGTGAGCTGCAACTTGTGCGAATTTCTGGGCAGTTTTTTTTGGTAAGCAGCAGCCTCAAGTTCATCTCTTTAGCTTTAATCTGGCGTGGGTCACTCTAATCTCTTTTGTTTCTTGCAATTTTGTGGTAGTTTTCATGATTTCTTCTCCAGTCTCCGTCGGCCTCCATACCTGCCAGCTCCGGTTTTGGCTGCTGGGAACATTCTGGTATGTTGATGGCATCCTTAAGTCCGAAAATGGTTAATTAGTTGTTGTTTTGGCCAGATTTTGTCCATGTAGAGGCTGCTCTGTGTTGTCCGAACCGAAACCCTGCTGGAAAATGGGAGAATTCCGGTAGCATTAAGCATGAGTTTTTCTAGCTTAATTCATGTAGAGTTTTCTGTGATTGGCTGCTGTTGGGTGGCGGTAATTCTGTTATTTAATGTCTGAAAAATCTGTTGTTTTAAGTCTGGATTTTTATCAATTAATTGCGGTTGCACAAGGGAGAATTCCGGCAGCCTTTGAAACGTGTTTGGGTTTAATTCATGTCAAAATTCTTTGATTCGACTGCTGTGGTGTTCAGTATGCATAGCCGGGTCTTAATCACTGTTTTGCCAAAGCTCTGTTTTTCCATTTCTTGTCCGTGAGATTGAGTATTATAATTTTAATTAGAAAAAAATTGGATTTTGGGTAGACATATGGTTTGGAATACAAGTGAGTTTGATATTTGAGGCTAAATTTGTGTGAAGCTTATTGAGTAATAATTTGTTATTTTGTGCTGGTATTTCTAGCAAGGTCTAAGCATATATATTTGAAATCTTAGTTGCTGTTGTGGTTTAGAGCTCTGAGATCGAGTCTTCGGTTTTTATGCGAGTGAGGTAAGTAAATTTATGGTAATGCTCGTACAGTTTTTAAAAGTATGTTTTAACTTGTTTTGATGTGATGGTGAGACTAAACCCGTTTTATGCAAAAGTAAGTATGATTGCTCTGAAATGAAATTTTTATGCTTTTCAGTAAATTGAGCATGCTACTTGAAATTTAATTGATTGTCCTGATGATTTGAAAGTGATTGGTAAATTACGATTTTCTGTTAACTTCTGCCTGTTTTGTCTCCGATGTGGTCATGTTATTAGTGGGCAAAATACCCAAATCTACCCCCCAAGTATAGTGGTAGGGACGGATCCACCCCCGAACAAAAAACGGGGACAAATTCACCCACAAAATTTTCAACTTAGACAAATAACCCATTATTTGACGGGCCACGTCAACTGACGTCATCTTCCCGTTAACTGCGTGCTGACTCATACATTTTAAACACGGTGGAGGTCTTTTTGCCTGTGTGGATGTTGAACTGACCCATTCCCGCCCATTTTAATCCTATGTGACAACTTTTCCCCCTTTTGCATTACACATCAAGTGGGTCTCACCTAAAAATATATAAACATTAAAAAAACCCATATTTTATCTGTGTTTTCCCCCTTCCTTCGCTCTTCTGTGGTTAGGGTTTCTCTTTATCCTCCAAATCTGGGTTAGGAGAAAATATTTCCAAGATAAAATATTTACACTTGAAAAATATTTCCAAGTGTAAATATTTATTACAAGATAAAACAAAATTAAATA